ATCGTCACGCAAAATCACAGATTTGTCATAAGTAGAACATATTAAATAGCTATCTAAAATAATCCATATGCACACATAGCACATTGATCAGTGGATATGATTTCACACTTTACCCACAATCCCTTGTTGAAGAATCAAGTTGGTGGACTATATAAATTGATGAAAAGTTTAAAGCGATGGAGTCAAACTGATGGAGTCGTCACCTGCGGATGCGTCAGATGACCATAGCGTGTCATTGTTTACAAACAATCGTCTACCCATGAGCTTTTGCGTCGCTTGAGACTCAATTCTCACGCGTGCGCAGGTGACGACCCTCCCGCTTTAATATTCAGAAAATGAAAAGTAATATAAAACAAATTGTAAATTGCATTTTCTTACATTTGCCGAGCTTTTTCATCTGGGAGTATTATGTTGTCAGCATTGACTTTTTCTGTAATTTCAGAGTCTATTTTGTGGTAGACAGCAATACGCCATATGCTTTATCGACCATTAATCTTATCATTGTGTGCTCTTCAATGTTTACCTTTGCAAATTTTCTTTTTCTTTTTATTAATTATAATTTTTATGTAACAACCCTGCTTTCATCAATTAACTGTTACTGTACACTGACCGTCCGTACAGCACGGTATGAATAAATTGGATGAAGCGGCCACTCATAGCCTCAATCCCAATATGGCGTCATCCTTTGCAGGTCAGTGTTGTTATCGGATAGAATCTAAATATATTTACTTTGCAACTTTGCCATCTAGCTGTATATGATAAACGTGTTTCTGTTAGTACTTATGTACATAAAGTTCATTTTCTGACGTTGTTGTCAGACAGCACTGGGATGCACGATTTGCATTTTAAAACTATAATATTTGACAATTTTCGTGGCTATTATATACATGCATGTTTGCTGTGCTTGCTGAACCTTGAATGCTGGACCACAACCAACCACATGCTATTATAAATGGGAGTTTTCTATTAATGTATTTAACGCCTATATGACGTTACCCCATGCGGTAATTGCTATTGGTATCACAAGTCAATAGAGGTCCGTTCATGTACCTTCCAAACTCTTGCAATCTTCACTCATTCATTTTTATCATGTGATGCAGTGGCTACAAACTCACACAACTCAGTCATGACCCAAAATCTGTATCACAATTCGGTTGCCATGGCAATAAGGATATTGGGTAGGATACACAACTATTGTCAAATAGGGTCATTGTAGAGATAAGTACTTTGTAAATGCGATAGAAGTTTGCGCCCCAGAGTTCTTTCATATATAGTAGCCCCCAAATCATTCATTAAGTTACAAAATTCGAAAATCATGTGATCGAAATATTTGATGTATATCGGTTTATTGAAAGTAAGAAATTGTTAAACATACAGTAATACAGTTTATTACGATTGCTATGAAGAATATTTAGTGTTAATATAAATCTTTGTACACTGATGACTCCAGTATCGTTTCATCATTGATTATACATTCTCATACCCTTATATGGTATGCATCACGTGATGTATCATCAGCACAATTTATTCCTTTGCCATAACATTATCTTGCAAATATTCTGGTCTAAATACATTGAAGTGATATCCCTATTATAAACAAAATAAATAATATAAATAATTAAAAATGTACTAAAATTAAATTAATTAATCATTAATTGTGACTGCATTACATGAAATCATAGCATTATAAGCGTTTTTTAAATTATAAGACGCTCGACTTATTAATGTCGTGCACAATACTCCTAAGTTAGTTAGGTTAGTTTAGTACTAAAATGAAAAATATCTTCATCTATTAATGTTTATGAATAGTTTCATTTAAAGTGGGGGAGTCGTCACCTGCGCATGCGTCAGATGGCCATAGCGTGTCGTTGTTTACAAACAAGCGTCTAACCACGAGCCTTTGCGTTTTAGTGTGTGTTGTTATCTTTGCTTCGGACTCAATTCCCGCGCGTGCCCAGGTGACGACCCTCCCGCTTTAAACTCGTCAATTGAACAGTTTCAGAACGCCTTTCTTCTATCATTACGTAACATACACATACCAGTCTCCATATGTGCGTTAGCATATATCTATGTAGTTATGTGAGTGATGTAACTGGGAAGATAAACTCACCATATTTTCTCTCGGCCTTGAAGCAAACTCCATAATATTTACCCTCTTCAACAACACGCGCAAATGCTTTATTCCACCATTGACGTAGAGGACTCCCTTTACGCATGACCAAGTACGTGTCAGTGTCACTGCAAATGAAATTCTGGCCAACAGGTTTTATATCGGGAAACTCTTCGATGTCAGTAAACAGAAAAGCCGCATCAATCTAAGTAATTTAAAATAAAAACAAAAGTGTGCACTTTGATGTTGGTGTTGACCTTAACCCTCGAGATAATGAGGATGTATAACAAAAAAAACTTAAAAACAACTGAACATATACATCACTTTGTCTGTTTCATCGTAGATGAAGGTCAAGGTATATGAGAAGGAAAATGTCTGTCCTCGTTGTTGTTGTCGTTACCTTCGTTACAAAAACTTTTGATGTGATTACACTAACTCAATCATTTTTTTCAACTTATAACAAACTTGGATTAAGGAGTTTGGTATCTCGACCAAGTTTGATTTTGATTCGTCTTCTACCAACATTTCTTGTGGATAAAATAACTCAAACAATTTCATCTGTTTATCAACCAATTCCAATTTTGGTGTAACTAGCTAGTGCAATTTTCAGCTGTGGAGTAGAATTTAGCTGAAATAAAACATTTTCTAGATGCAGAAATAAATGGACATATTTATACCTTTGTTAATGAGAACCAGATGTTCGTCGTAAGATGATCTCAATAATCTGCCAATTAGATAAGTGGAGTAAACTAAGATAAGTAGTTTCCCGCCCTTTTCAAATTTGACTAGTATTTTATTTGTGGATATATATATGTATATATATATATATTACTGCATTAGTATTTGGGAACTTTTATACAATTCATTTTATATAATTCTATAAGTGACATTGAGATTAATACAGTATAGGTTTTATTTGAGAACACAGTCAATATTTGTCAAATTTGGTTAGATAATGTTACATTATTTTAGGAACTTTTATATGATTTATGTTATATTATTCTATAAGGATATAGAAATTATTACATAACATGTAATATTATTTGGAAAACATGAATATTAATTAATTTTGCAAGTAATTATAATGAGTTCATTGTTCTGGTACATTTTAGTCAGAATTGTACTTTTCACACAAAATGTATCGACATACTGATACATTTATACTCACTTTTGTAAAGAAACTTTGTCCATTATTAGTTTGTATCATTTCATTCATTTGTAAATTAATCTCGATTCTCAAAGCGCAAGGTTGTAATAGTTACGCTATGTTTTCAAAATACACGATCCAAGTTATCCATCGGGAATGAGTAAGGCATATGTTGAATCAGTAATATAACAATTTGAGACAAATCTAAAAGTTCATGCTACATATGTTTTCTACTGGATTTTGCTCAAATTTAACAAGTAAACATAAATTTATCACATGCGACGTACCTCTTTATTTCGCAGCATCTCGGCTAACTCAAACGCGCTTGATGCGTAGAATTTATGGCCTGGCAAGATGGAGTCCTTCTCAGGAGTATGTTTCACAATACACTCTTCGTCCGCGGCAAAACCGCTCAAAAATCCTAAGATGAAAAGACAAAATTTAAATGCAAAACTAACAAATGAATGAATGAATGAATGAATGAATGAATGAATGATAATAAATGAATGCGTTGCTGCATTCAAATCACATCATTAGAGTATTTGTTGTCATGCCAACCAATATCTGTGACAGTTACATTGAAATTTTTCTCACCTATTTTTCTGCCGAACGGATTCTCGGGCTGGAAGTTTAGTGGATTTCCTTCCAGTACATACATTTGTGCCGTGTTTGCGCTGTATTTTATGAATGGATCAGAAAAGTCAAATACTGGGAGGCGTTCAGGAACTTTGTAGTAAGCGACGCATGCGTCGTACCATTCTCCTAGTATACCTATAACATATCATACAATAGAAGTATATATAATTTGCGAAATATGACGTCACAAGCAAAGTTTGTGTAATACAAGAATAGTTAACTGTACCTGGTCCTGCTTGCATTCGCTGGTTATCTGGATGTTTGTTACAATTTTCAACATCATCGTACATTAGTTCACAGTGTTTACCGGCTTCCTCACAAACTGCAAGTATAGTGAAAACAATATCAGTATGACCATATAACAACACGAAGCAGACAAAATTGTATATGTGTACAGCGTTCTAGTTGTAAAATACGATTATTTATCTAGTTAAAAATATTGGAATTGTTTCATTCTCGACTAGGCAAGTACTCAATATGTTTAAAATACGTTAGTATCTTGTAGTATCCCTTCGGCTCCATGTAGCATTACCTCAATAGGTGATTTTCCGTACAATTGCGAGATCTCGCGAGATGCATGAAAGACGCGCGTCGAACGTCTGCCGCAAAAATCGAACGATTTGATTTTGAACTCGAATTTCTTTATTTCGTAGCTCACATCGACCGGCCGATCTTCGACAGAGGAATATTGCTTCCGAATACCCTTACTTAATCGAAATTGCCTATCATCAAATGTGGACAGCACATTATTAAGCATGGAAATGTCCCCAAAATACTTTCGCGTTTGTCGAATCCCACGCGATGTTTGACGCCACTACGACGCTATGACCTTTGTTTGTCCTGTTTTTTACGTTCGATTTCACGCATAACGCGTGATTCTCGCAGTGTACGGAAAATGTTCTATTATTTCATTTGTTTCATATCGTAACGTATCCATTATCTATTAGTTTATGTTCTTAGTTTTGTATAGCTGCTAATTAAAACTGTTCTAGACTGTAATCACCTTAAGTTTGCAAACTGCACTTACAAGGCGGTCACAATAATAATGTGTTGGTACATACCTTTTTTTATAATATCTACGTACACCCCTGCAAGGTTTCCATATTTATCACTGGGAATTAAATAATATAGCACAAATGACCCACATAAAAAGAGTTTGTCGCTCGGAAATAAATGCAGTTGAATAGTCTTGCACACACGTACGTGAGAGCAGCATAGATGAGCAATATTGTTTCAATTAAAAGACTGTGCT